TCTGGTGAATTTATTCACTGTCCTTTCATGGTGCCTATCCACGGCAACACATTTTCCCATACCCCCCATACCTGACAGGAGGCTCTGTCAAGAATGCAGTACAAGACTTCGTGATTTCTAATGGCAGGGCCTGACACCCTACCTCATACACAAAACGTGCTTAAAGCGGAGCTCCACCCAAAGGGAAAGTTCTGCTTTAAGCAGTTGTTCCCCGCTCCCCATTAAGGATTGGCACCTTTGGGGAAGGGGTACCTGAATTTGACAGGTACCCACTCCCACTTCTGCTGCGATCGCCTAGACAGTCGGAAGTGGAAGTCGTCCTCCTCCCCCCCTCCACGTGACAGGTCCCAGAAGACTATGGGGCCATTCACAAGGCACAGCACTACTCCTGCATGCACAGTGAGCACCTGGATGTGAAGCCGCAAGTTGTCCCAGCTGGGTGCCTACACTGAAGATGCCGGAGCCAGAGAGAGAAGACAGCCGGTGAAACCAGCGGTGGGAAGGACACTGCTGGACCGAGGGACAGGTAAGTGTCTGTATTTTAAATGTCAGCAACTACAGTTTATGTAGCTGCTGACTTTTTTTTTTTCAGCTGAAACTTCGCTTTAACTTACCTTGCAATCAAAGTACATATGAAAGCCAATGGCTGAAATAGAAATGTACAATACCCAATATTAAACAGCGGGTGGCAGCACGCTCTATGAGCCCTCATAGCCTGCCTGTTCCTAGCACACTGCACTCTTACTTCCTCTACGTCACCTGACTGTTGTCAGTCCAAAGATCGTAGCCATATCGGTGGAAAGCTGCTGCTGGAGGTATGTGCTGTCATTTCTCAAAGCACTATTATACACCAGCGTGTGGATTGCAGTGCTGCTTTACAATCCTAAACTGTAGCCACAGGAAATGCTGTATTGTATGGGTAACAACAGCCCAACCAGCACATGCATTCCCTGCAATAGGTGTTAAAGGGAATGAAGAGCAGTGGGCATTAGGAGAAATAGAAAGAAAAAGAGACTCCTGATGCAGAATCCTAATTGATTGTGATAGCTGGTCAGTGTTTCTTGTTTGCTGTTTATTATTTCATCGATTACTCCCTAGACTAACATCTTAAAGTAGAACTATAGGCATTGTTTTTCATTTTGGATAGAGCAAGGGAGGGTTATAACTCCTCTTAGATTTTTTTTCACCATCTGTATCCCATTGTGAAGATTTCCCTTCACTTCCTGCCCCAGAGCCAAACAGGAAGTGAGAGAAATTCCTGAAAATCAAGGGAATTTGTTGGGGACCCACCAGGTCACCAGAACTAGGGTCTCCATTGGGAGATTTTCCCCTCTCTAAGGCTGGCCATACATTATACAATTTTCTTGAGATTTTTTTTCTTTAGATTTACCAAAAACCATATAATGTGAGGTCAAACCTAAACAACACTTTCCATTGTATCCAATTAGGCAGACCCTTGCACTACACAGTTGAAGGTAAATCTAAATGAAATTGGACAGAAAATTGTATAGTGTATGGCCAGCCTTACTTTTCGGGGGCAACCCAAAATTTGGAATTTTCTTTCACTGTTAATGATAATGGCAAACAGGATGAATCTCCTTAATGGGGGCACAGACAGCAATAAAAACTGACAGGGGTTCTAATGCTTCCCCACTAACTAAAAGCAAAAAAAGGTTTTTGCCGTTAGTTATTCTTTAGCCCCTTCACGCTGGCACTTTAAGGGGTTTCTGACCCCCAGGAGGCGGGGTTTAAGGTCATGTGACTGTCGTGATTGGCTGTCACATGATCGGAAAGGTCCCGATTACAAGGAGAGATTGAGACCTTTCTGTGGGACACCGACACAAGCTGGGAGCTCTCAGCACATGTTTGTTTACAAATGGCATGCAAATAAGCGGCCGCTAGGCGTCAAGGCCCAGCCGCTGAAAGGCCGCATATTTGCGTTCCGTCGGCGTGAAGAGGTTAAGTATCAGATTAACACAGCAAAATCTTAAAGCAGAGTTCCACCCATTTTTAAAAGTTGCTTTCATCTACATGCCCACCTACAGTGTATTCCTAAATGGATAATAATATATTTTTCCTTTATGTCTGAATACCTTATTTTTATCTGTGTATGCAGCACTTTCTGTCCAACCGCCTAGGCGATGTCATCATAAGGCTATTCCCCTTGAACTATAAAGACAAAAGAGAATCGTGCGCTGCCAAATAATGAGAATAATAATAGATGAGCTGGTGCAAACACGTGTTATGTGTGTAAATATAAAAAACAGACTAAAACAAATGAAAGTGTCGCGCTGATAGCATAGATCAATACATGTAAATATACAAACAAAAACATGACTGATCGTTCCAAAAGATGATAAAACATAAAAAAAAAATGGATTTTGAAAATGGATTTTTTTTGAAGAATTGCATTTAAGTGAAAAATCTTCCTGCTAGTGATTGCACCCAAAATCCCAGTGCTGTAAATCTTCAATACATGTGAATCACCACAATGCACATAGACTTCCAGATGGACTGTCACCTTCTCGCATGGACCTGTATGTGGACACAGGTCAAACAAAGCATCTCCCCTATTAGTGGGGGTAACACATAACTTGCTCCTCTGTGCACTCTTCCCCTTATGGATCACCTTTGAACCTTCACAAATGGCAGCTGGTTCAGTACAGTCAACTCTGGATAAAGCTTGATAACCACAAAGTAGACCATAATGAAGTCGGCTTCTTTAAAGGGCATATATTTATTAAAGCATATGAACTCACGTGATAATAGTGTTAAAAAACGCATTAAACAGCGATCAAAATCAAACAATGGGGAGCAAGACCCTGCCTGTCGGAACGATGTAGGAGTGCTGACGTCACCTGACATCTCCCCACGCGTATCGTCGCACACCACATGACTTCATCAGAGGTACATTCATCAGAATGAAGTGCAATCAGTATAGTTCAAAATAGCAATAGTGGTGAGACCCTCCTGCGCTCCAAATAATGTGTTTAAACAATTAAAACAAATTAAATATATGAACCCCAAACAGCTGCTAGCATTAAATCATATACCAGTGATCAAGTGAATATAAACCATATAAATGCTGCGCTACATTCAAACTTATTAAGTGAATGTGGAATCCAATGACACAAATCCAATATAGTGACAATAATAATGAAATAAATGATACGTGCTTACTGATAACAAAATTATCAAATAAAACACCCAAAAGATGAAAAAACACAAACTTAAAACTATACGCATGTGCATGAAAATACACATACATATAATTACATCACACGTGCAAATGTGAAGTGAAATAATGGTTACTTATTAAACGCAAAAAAAAGTCCAATATAAAAATGTTGAAGGTGAACAAAACTGTAAACGGTGTTTCCAATAATACTGTAAAGTGACCACAGGTGAAAACAAATCGTGCAGGTATCTGGGTGTAGATAGAGCTTATGAATCCAACCACCTTCTGGATTAGCCTCTCACCTCATCACTTCGACCCTTGCGGATCAAAGAGCAATAATGGATCCCTCTCACAGATCCTCCAGGTACCACAGCACTCCAGAAACGCTTTTCATGATTTAATATTCCCACTCAAGCTCTTCTCCAGGTATAGGTGAAATATCAATCTCTCAGAACAAAACAGAGGAATCCTCCCATAGTGTAGTATATTTATTATATACGTTTTGTTCTGAGAGATTGATATTTCACCTATACCTGGAGAAGAGCTTGAGTGGGAATATTAAATCCTGAAAAGCGTTTCTGGAGTGCTGTGGTACCTGGAGGATCTGTGAGAGGGATCCATTATTGCTCTTTGATCCGCAAGGGTCGAAGTGATGAGGTGAGAGGCTAATCCAGAAGGTGGTTGGATTCATAAGCTCTATCTACACCCAGATACCTGCACGATTTGTTTTCACCTGTGGTCACTTTACAGTATTATTGGAAACACCGTTTACAGTTTTGTTCACCTTCAACATTTTTATATTGGACTTTTTTTTGCGTTTAATAAGTAACCATTATTTCACTTCACATTTGCACGTGTGATGTAATTATATGTATGTGTATTTTCATGCACATGCGTATAGTTTTAAGTTTGTGTTTTTTCATCTTTTGGGTGTTTTATTTGATAATTTTGTTATCAGTAAGCACGTATCATTTATTTCATTATTATTGTCACTATATTGGATTTGTGTCATTGGATTCCACATTCACTTAATAAGTTTGAATGTAGCGCAGCATTTATATGGTTTATTAGTATAGTTCAAAAGTCACTTTATAACTAGGGATGCACTGATACCATTTTCTTACAGTGAGTATGAGTATCAATACCAATTACCGATACCTGCCTGCAATGGTTTTGTTTACACTTCAGCTGGGGAAACTCGCTGACAGCTGAATGAGTGATCAGTTGTTAAGGACACAGTGGCCCCGCTCCTTAACCACTTCAGCTCTCACATCTGTTCATCCCTTATGGACCAGAGCAATTTTTACATTTCTGTTATGGACCTGTTTATTAGGTGATAACTTTGTCGTTACTTAAGATAACAATGTGATGCGTATTGTTTTTTAAGGACAAAGTTTTCTTTTTGTGAATATTGTCCTGCAACAATATTTTTTTTCACAACCCTTAACCACTAGTCTACAGGGCACTTATACCCCCTTCCTGCCCAGGCCAATTTCCAGCTTTCAGTGTTGTCACACTTTGAATGACAATTGCGTGGTCATACAACACTGTACCCATATGAAATTTTTTTTTTTTTGTGACAGAGCTTTATTTCGTGGTGGTATTTAATCACCTCTGGGTTTTTTATTTTTTTCTTAAACCAAAAACCACTGAAAATGTTGGAAAAAAAAAAATTTTTTCTTAGTTTTTGTTAAAAATTTTGTAAATAAGTGATTTTTCTCCTTCACTGATGTGCGCTAATGAGGCTGCAGTGATGGGCACTGATAGGCTGCACTGATGGACCCTGATAGGTGATGGGCACTGATGGCACTGAAAGGCGGCACTGATAGGCGGCGCTGACTGGCACTGTTAGGCAGCACTGATAGGCGGCACTGATGCACACTGATAGGTGGCACTGATAGGCAGCACAAATAGAAGGCACTGACTGGCACTGATGGGTGACAATGAAAGGCAGCTCAGATGGGCACTGATATGTGGCATTGATGTGCACTGGAGGCACTGGCAGGTGGCATGGATGAGCACTGAGAGCTGGCACTGATGGACACTGACAGGTGGCACTGCTGGGGCTACACTGATCATCAGTGCACATGTTCCCTCTGAGGAATGTCGATTACTGGCTCTCCTCTCCTCACGTTCTGCCAGCGTGACAGCTCGTGAGGAGAGAAATGCCGATAACCGGCATTTCCCTGTTTACATGCGATCAGCTGTGATCGGACACAGCTGATCACCTGACCGAGCCGCCATTTTCTGCTCTTTCCATGGATCGTTGATCCGCTGTGTCCGAGGGACACAGCGCACCGTCAATCGCCGCGCTGTGCGCTCCCGGAGCCGCGCATGCGCGGAGAGAATGGGAGGACGTCATGTGACGTCCTCCTAGAACGAACGAGAGAACCGCCTTGCTTCCGTCATTGGACTATATGGCGGGCGGGAGTCGGTTAAACAATTTAAATGTAACAAAACTTTAAATAAACACACTTTTTTTTTTTTTCTTTTTTTGAGCAGTGTTTGTTTAAAAATATATAGTGTTAATGCACATAAAAAGTGTGAATTTTATTCTGTGATTTGACCTGTTTAAAATGACACTAAACTTAAGATTGTGGTACAAAGCATTAAAAAGTTATTTACAAATGAAATTAATTTAATTTTTTAACATTTTTTTCAAAGTGAAACATGTAAATGTATGTTAAAGGTGTAAAAAATATTAATGAACAAAGAAAATAAATGATTAATAGTTTATAAAATAGAAATTAACAAAAACAATTAGCAGGAAAATCAATATTTAAATAGAGAAGGAGGAGTTAATTAGGGCTGATTCGAGTAAATTAATGGTTAATAAGGGGTTAAACAGAGGTACATTTAAAAAAAAAAAAAAAACTTTTTTTTACTTGACAGGTTGCTTTTGACTGACTTTATCTGCAGATCAAAGTTCATCCCTTTGATCTGTAGATGAATAAACAGAAAGATACAACATAAAACAATGTTTCTTTTTATCCCTCCTAGTCTGAGCAATGTTGTTGCGAAACATTGTCAGGCTTCTTCTTTTTTTTTTTTTTTTTTGACAGTTCCAATTGCCAGGACTTATTTACACTTCAGCTGTCAGCAGGGGAACCCTGAGAGGCATATAGTTTAGCTAAGATTCCACCGCCCTTTGTTAATGCACATTCGACCAGAGCCTTGTCAGCATTTTGGGCGGAGTGAGCCAGTGCCACGCCAGAGGATAGTTGCAAGGCAGCTACTTATCCAGCTATTCCAAGTTTGTGAAGCATTATTGCTTTGACCTGCTATCAAGTAAAGAGTAGGCGTTTGGACAAAAAGTCCTCCAGGCAGTGGTCCTGCCCTAGGGGGTAAGTTTCTTGCCCATCGTCTCACAGGCTGTCCTGGAAGACGAAAGGAGAAAACCAGAGTTAGGCTTACTAGTAACTCATTTTCTAGAAGTCTTCCAGGACAGCTGGATTTACCATCCTTTTTTTTTTCTCCAATTGTTGAGTTGCGTTATTATTATGTGTTTGTGTTTTGTCTTCCAGCATCTTCCCGTGGTTCTTGCGAATGCTAAAGAGCAGATCTGGAGGACCACCTCTTAAGAGTGTGGGCCAATGTATTTCCTGTCCAGGAAGGAGGAGCTCAATGTCTCACAGGTGGTCCTGAAAGACTCCTAGAAAATAAGTTACCGTTAAGACTAACTCTGTTTTTTCATTCATGCACAAGTTTCAACTATATGTTTTGTGATAACACTTTATCTTGTATTTGATGTATATTGTTACGATTGTTATGATGGGTTATTATTATATATGATTTACTACTGAGTTATTGATATGTTAGTTTTGCGCTCTTTCTAAGAAGTTAATTTCACAATTTTTTCCTGTCTGGAGAGTAATTGTTCACCCCCCATGAGACAGATGCAGGGGACCATCATGAAGGCAGAAGAACTGGTACTGCAGGCTAATTAGCTTGACTAGTTTCAGGCCTGGCTGTCTGGTCTGATTTTTGTCCTGAATGGCTAGCTTGAGCTCTAGCTTGGTTAGATGGGTTGAGCTCTGGTCAGTGTCAGTAGTACATAAGCCAGTGTACAGGGATCAGTAGTGTGTATGGGAGAGTTCATAGGTAAGCACTTTGTAGGGCAGAGTACAGGGGTCAGTAGTTTGTAGAGCAGTGTACAGGGGTCAGCAATTTGTATGGCAAAGTACAGGGGTTTGCAGGGTAGGGTACAGAGCAGTGTACAGGGGGTAGGTGGTTTGCAGAGCAGTGTACAGGGGTTAGCAGTTTATAGGACAGAGTATGGGGGGTCAACAGTTTGTAGAGCAGCGCAAGAGGGTCAGCAGTTTGTAGGGATGACTGCGCTTTCCCCCTATATGCAGTTTGTCACAGGGATGTGGCAGCAAGACATTGAAATATCTGTTCTGGCATGTTGCTCTACATTGACCCCCCCCCCCCCTCTCTCATCCATCCCATGTGATGTCACATACAAGCACCTGAGATGGATGAGAAAGGAGGGGCAGCTGGGACAAAAACGCATGTCACTTTTCTGCTGCACTCTGTTTATGGAGAAGAAGCACTTCAGACTGAGGGTTGGCACGGCAGGCATGCATTCTACATGTCATCTTCCTGTGATTGACGGGTTGCTGACCCATGCCTCAGAAATTGTTTCCCCTGCTGTATCAGTTTAGATACATTTAATGCTTAATATGTTTCTTTGCCATCTTCTGGAGCAATTGTGAGTTTAGAGTGCTATATTTGTACGTTTTCAATGTATTTAGTGATTTTTTTTCTTGGCTGAAAGCAATGAACTTGTGTTTTTTTTTTCTTGTGTGAATAACTATGTTACATCTTTCTAAGTTCTGATGTGTAGATTCAAGGTGGCTAACTTTTCTACTTTCTTTTAGGCATAATGGGGCGTCTAGATGGGAAAGTCATTGTGTTGTCAGCAGCAGCACAGGGTATTGGCAAGGCTGCTGCCATTGTAAGTCTGAATATTATAATGTGTTTTCCTCGCTTTGCTCTACATTGGATTACAGTGGGGCAAAAAAGTATTTAGTCAGCCACCAATTGTGCAAGTTCTCCCACTTAAAAAGATGAGAGAGGCCTGTAAATGGCATCATAGGTAGACCTCAACTATGAGAGACAAAATGAGAAACAAAATCCAGACAATCACATTGGCTGACTTGGAAAGAATTTATTTGCAAATTATGGTGGGATTTAGTCACCTACAAACAAGCAAGATTTCTGGCTCTCACAGACCTGTACCTTCTTCTTTAAGAGGCTCCTCTGTCCTGCACTCATTACCTGTATCAATGGCACCTGTTTGAACTTGTTATCAGTATAAAAGACACCTGTCCACAACCTCAAACAGTCACACTCCAAACTCCACTATGGTGAAGACCAAAGAGCTGTTGAAGGACACCAGAAACAAAATTGTAGACCTGTACCAGGCTGGGAAGACTGAATCTGCAATAGGCAAGCAGCTTGGTGTGAACAAATCAACTGTGGGAGCAATAATTAGAAAATGGAAGACATACAACACCACTGATAATCTCCCTCGATCTGGGGCTCCACGCAAGATCTCACCCCGTGGGGTCAAAATGATCACAAGAACGGTGAGCAAAAATCCCAGGACCACATGGGGGGACCTAGTAAATGACCTGCAGAGAGCTGGGACCAACGTAACAAAGGCTACCAGCAGTAACACACTATGCCATCAGGGACTCAGATCCTGCAGTGCCAGACGTGTCCCCCTGCTTAAGCCAGTACATGTCCGGGCCCGTCTGAAGTTTGCTAGAGAGCATTTGGATGATCCAGAAGAGGATTGGGAGAATTTCATATGGTCAGATGAAACCAAAATAGAACTGTTTGGTAGAAACACAACTTGTCGTGTTTGGAGGAGAGAGAATGCTGAGTTGCATCCAAAGAACACCATACCTACTGTGAAGCATGGGGGTGGCACCATCATGCTTTGGGGCTGTTTCTCCGCAAAGGGACCAGGACGACTGATCCATGTACAGGACAGAATGAATATGGCCATGTATCATGAGATTTTGAGTGCAAACCTCCTTCCATCAGCAAGGGCATTGAAGATGAAACGTGGCTGGGTCTTCCAACATGACAATGATCCCAAACATACCGCCCGGGCAACGAAGGAGTGGCTTCGTCAGAAGCATTTCAAGGTCCTGGAGTGGCCTAGCCAGTCTCCAGATCTCAACCCCATAGAAAACCTTTGGAGGGAGTTGAAAGTCCGTGTTGCCCAGCGACAGCCCCAAAACATCACTGTTTTAGAGGAGATCTGCATGGAGGAATGGGCCAACATACCAGCAACAGTCTGTGCCAACCTTGTGAAGACTTACAGGAAACGTTTGACCTCTGTCATTGCCAACAAAGGATATATAAACAAAGTATTGAGATGAACTTTTGATATTGACCAAATACTTATTTTCCACCATAATTTGCAAATAAATTCTTTCCAAATCAGCCAATGTGATTGTCTGGATTTTTTTTTTCTCATTTTGTCTCTCATAGTTGAGGTCTACCTATGATGCCAATTACAGGCCTCTCTCATCTTTTTAAGTGGGATGAACTTGCACAATTGGTGGCTGACTAAATACTTTTTTGCCCCACTGTATCTGTTCTTACATACATATATTTATTTAAAGTGTACTGTACCCGTGTTCAAAATTAAAAAAAAAAAAAAACATTCAGCACAGCTCTTCAATACACACAAATTTTGATATTTTGATTTTGATATATCTCTCTTTTAAAATGCTGCAAATATAAAAAAAACTACCTTATACTCTTGCCAGAAGCGCAGTCAGAGCCAAACGTGCTGTAATAGACTGACAACACTGCCACTGTTGAACTGAAATAGCAGGAGGGGAAGAAATATCAAGCAGCTGCTACAGGAGGGGAGGAGTGCTGAGAGTGTAAACAAAGAGACATTATGGAGAGGAGAGGGATATGCTGTCCAGCAGAGGAAAATCAATACCATGGCTACCGTGGCTTGGGATTTAAGTGTAGCAGTGGCAGTGTTGTCATCCCACTGCAGGAAGTTAGGATCTGGCTGCATTTCAGGCAGGATCATCAGTATTTCATCAGCATTTGCAGGCATTTTAAAAAGACATAATTTAGTAGCTTCATCATGCATCGATTAACCTCACAATATCTGTCACTATTTTGCTTACTATATAATTTTTACATTGTTGTAGAGACATATAAGGCTTTTAATAAGTACAGAGTTTGAATAAATTACCAGTCCTATTTTTTTTTTTTATTGTGAGCTGAAAAAAGGTCAAGATATTGAAAAATGCAGTTTTAGTCCGTTTTTTACATGTAACGTTTAATTTTTTTCTGCAATTTTTCCTGAGTACAGGGAGCACAAATGTGTAGGCTTTAATACATATGTCAGTGCTGTATGGTCGATAGACAAGCCATAGTGTGAAATGCACCAGACTTGTGTTCCTGCTGACTAAATTAGAATTCTAGAAATTAGAAAATAGAATTAGTATATTCTACACCCAGGAATGGTGCAGAATATGTACCTAGCACCATAGAAGGTAACATCCATTCTTCAGCACTGGACAGGCTGCATAGCATCTGTTATCAAGGCCAAAGCCGGCTCAACACACTCCTTTTTTTTTTTTTTTTTTTTTCCTGACTACTTCATGTATTGTTTGCCAGAGCGAGAGAAGTTTTTTCTTAACTCTAATGCTAAACATTAGGCCATATTTATTGCTCATTTTGAGACTAATTTACGAGTATGATTAATGGTGAAAAGAAACACAATGCATAGAAAATTAGGGTTACTTTATCCTTATGGCTTGAAATTTAAAGTTTAGAAAATATGAAGCAAAAATGTGATAGCTGCATGAATTAATGTATTTATTTTTTTGTCTGTTTTAAGGCATTTGCTAAAGAAGGAGCAAAGGTGATTGCAACTGATGTCAATGGAGAGAAACTGAAGGAGCTGGACTCATACAAAGGTTACTTTCTGTTCATGGTTTTTGAACCCATTCACACCTGCCTGGTCTGCCAGGGTATGTTAAATGCAGGTGTGTTGCATTGAGGCAGCCCATTCAGTTGAATGAGCTGGTCAATGAATCAAAATTTTCAGCATTTGTTGCAGTGCGCCACAACACGCGCTTGTGCATTGCCACGCATTGAGCTGTGCTGCAACACACATCCATTGGCAAGGTGCGTTGGATGCCATTCAGAATCAATGGTACTGCAATGCGTCAAATCATAAAATGTGCATTGCGCAATGGGATGGTGTGGACGGGTCCATACAATTTTTATAACTGAAAATGACAAAATTTTGTAACAATGTTATTATAATGTTGAAATGCATTTTAGGGTGCCTTTACATGTGTGCAGTTCTTCACTTCATAGTTTTTCTAATTAAAGTAAATGCACAGATGGATAAAGTTAATCAAAGTATATATAACCAAAACTTTTTGTTTAGTTTTGAATAGCATAGGAAGCAGTAAAAACCCTTGTGTGCTTGAAGAGCCTTATGGCACTGCCCTGGAAGCACAGTATCAATGTGAGAGGACCTACTCATTGGTACTAAGCAAGGTTTACAGCTCAGGTCCTATCTAGCCTCAGATGGGTTGAGTCAATGGTGAGAAGAAAATTGGGAAACATGACATATGGAATGACGGTATATGATTACTTTGATGTTTCTTTAGGCATAGAAACACGAGTGCTGGATGTAACTAAAAAGGACCAAATTGAAAAATTATCTCATGGAATTGATAGAATTGATGTTCTTTTTAATGTAGCTGGGTAAGTAACAGTCTTCACTTAACAACGAGCCTTAATTGTCTTATGTCTGGTGTCAGTATCGTCACTACTGTCTTGTCTGTGGCCAAAAGCTTTCTATGCCACCCTTCTAAACATGTATTATACGAAAACAGCTGTATTTTTCCCACTGCCTTACTGCTGAAGTTACTTTTACACAGATTTTTTTGTTTTTTCATAGTAAAGTCTGATATTTTTTCTTTGTCTCTCAATGTGTATAAGCGAGAGTATTATCATAAAACACAGGTGGTGGTGTGGAACCTCAAGGGTCATCCACAAATGGATTTTATGCAAAGTACAAACATACAATTTCATTTTTCTTTCACTGAGGGATACAGGAATTCTTTGACCTTAAGGACATTTAAAAACAGTCCATCTGAGGAGTGAGCAACACCGCAAACAATTATTAACAGGCCCAAGGAAAAAACAGAAAAACTGGGGACTGCTTGCAGCTGAAAAAGCCACCTGATGGACCTTAAATCCAAAGCTAACATCAGATGAGGCTGAAACATCCACCAGGTAGAACATATGAATAGAAGACCAGGTGACGTCTTAAAGATTTGGTAAACCGCTGCTTAATACCGATTGGGCCATGACAGGCAAGGGGGTGAACCTAAACCAGCCGAGGGAAGAAGAAACCATGTCCTGCTTGATGTGAAAGGCTGAACCTACTTTAGACAAGAAGGAACACCACCTCGTTCCCATCAAACTAGAAACTGTTCCCAGTTGGATAAGGCCGCTGTTTTAACCCATTAGAGACATCCCTCTCTCTACTGATCTTTGCAAGGTGTCAAACAGTGATTACTAAAGCCAGAGAGAGCCGTATTCCGAGCCCATGGAATCATAGGTGAAAGGACGGTGGAAGCTACATGGGAGATTGCCTGTGCAACAGGCGTAAAGAGTGAAAAGCCAATGGTGTCTGTAACAGAAAAAAGGGCAAATACCTGATCCTTTATAGTGATGCGAGCCAAAAAATGTTCCAGACTTAAGCCCTGTACACATGGGTCAAATATCGGTTGGCATTGGGCAGGGCAATAGAAACTGGCCAACATTTAGCCCCTGTGTATGCCCACCTGTCCAAACCAGCATCCAATCAGATCTGATCAGTGCTGGCAGCCAACCTGTTCACCAGGTTGGAAGTCCCCCTGTCAGCACAAAATAGGTCAGTGGGGAGATTGCTGTACTAACATTGGTTAGTTAGTTAATATACCGAAGTCCTCTCAAGCTCTTCAGTTGGGATTTTTTTTTTTTTTTTTTTTTTTTTCAACCCGCTGGGTTGAACAAAAAAAAAAAAAAAAAACAGTGTGTAGCCAACATTAGCTGCAGAAAGGAGAGGATCTGTCCCACAGAGAAACTCCTTTTAGTGAATGCCCAGAGACTCACACCAAGAGATATATGCCTTTCAACGACATACCTTGCAATCACAGGCTCAGAGATGTCCCTGTCCACCAGAACCTGGGCTTCAACAGCCATGTTAAAACCAGTGACTATGTAACAGGATAGCAAACTGGTCCTTGGGGCAGAAGATCCTGAGGACCTGAGAGAGCCCATGGAGTGTCTGCCAACGGTCTTGCCTGGTCAGTGTACCACATCTGCCTGGCTACGTACAGAGTAATGAGGATCAACCGAATGCCCTCCATCCCTTTCCTGCAAAGCAAATGAGGAAGCAGGGAAGGAAATAGACCAGAGCATACGCTGCTTCCACTAGAGGATTCATGTACCTGGGGAAAAAAACCTCCAGTTTCTTGATGAATCTGAAGGCCAGGATCCATATTGAACATCCCCTGGATAGCAAGGTTTAAAGGTAAAGTTCTGCCCTGGACAGAATCCGATCTACCTTTTTGGCTGTGGTATATTTTCTTTCTGATGATTTATGTACTCCACTGCTGTGGCTTCATCTGACTGAATCTGCATTGGCTAATCCTCCATTAGGGTAATTCAATGCTCCAGAAACAACAAACCATCCAAAATTCCAGGATGTTGATCTGGACATGAAACTTCTGCAATGCCCAAGTCCCCTGCAGCGGCATACCCAGGAAATCTCTCCAGCCCTACAGCGCGGCATCCATTGTGAGTTTTTTTTCAAAAGATTTGGAAATAAGAACTTCTCTGACTCCAGAGCTGGATTTCTCAACCACCAGGCTTGGTACAACCTTGTGCTCAGATGACATGCAGATGAAGGGCTGAAGGGCAGGGTTTCAAAGTTGTCGTATATAGAGACCCCAAAACCAAGCCTAAAAATGGTTGATATGTTGGAAAGATGGGGACATGAAGAAGCTTCCTTGATATCCACAGAAGCCAGAAAGTCTCCCTGGTGAAGGGAGGTAATGACAAATTTGGTTGATTCCATGCAGAAGTTTTAGACTCAAATGAAGATATTCTGAGCTTTTAGATCCAAGATAAGGCCATTGTCCCTTCTAGGTTTGGGAACAGTGAACAGGTTGGAGTAAAACCCTTGAAACTGTTCTGCCAAAGGAACTGGGGCAATGACACCTTGATCTTGAACACACAAGAGGGATCAATGGGGATCTTCCAATCTGTACATTGACTCAAGAAGGTTGGAGGTGGGGGAGACAAGGAGGGGAACAGGAAGGAACACTCCAGTTTGTAGCCCAAAAATACAACACCTGCACCTGGCTTCCCGCAAATTCCAGCTGTCTGAGCATCCGCAAAGGTAATAGTTGTTGAGGAAGGCTTCTTTGAAGATTTGGCAGACTTTGTGCCAAACCTTGTAGGTTGGCTTGCAGCCAAACTTGAGGGGGTCTCGGTGTGGAAATAAGGTAGAGGAGAAACAAAAAGACTTCTCAGTCCTATGTGGGACACGTCAAAAATGAGATGAGAATCTTCCAACAAACTGTCACAATTGAGGGTAACGCTACAGCCATCTGTTCCACTTATTCAATAAGCAGGTGATCAACTGCAGCAGTGGTTAGATTTCTTTTAAGGCAATTTTATGATTCAGACAAGACCTAGTAAAGTCATAGCCAGAATAGGATACAGTGGTGTCACTATGGGGGTGTGGGGGGTCTGGACCACACCCAGGGGACACCATGGCTGGCTACATTTACACTGTACCTGGTCCACTGAGCTCAGCCTCCTTCCCTCATTCCTGCACTCAGGGCCAGGACAAGAGAGGGCTGCCTGGTGCAGTAAAGTCCAGACAGCAGGCGGCAGCGGTAGAGAGCCAGGAGGAGGTTTGGGCTGTGCCCTCCCCCTCCTGTCAGTGGAATGCTCCTCTATACAGCAGATGACATAGGATCAATCTAGCAATCCTGTGTCAGGAGCAGAGATTGGAAGGGGGAATATGTGCTGGTAGCAGGGATTGGGGGGGGGGATATGCGCTAGGAGCGGGGATGGGGGGGGATATGTGCTTGGAGTGGGGATTGCAGGGGAATATGTTCTAGGAGTGGGGATTGGGGAAAAATATGTGCTAGGAGATGGGATTGGAGGGGATATGTGTTAGTATGTAGCAGGGGCGGACTGACAACTCATGGGACCCTGGGCAATAGGGGATCATGGGGCCAAAACTCAAAAAAGCCTATGGAAAAGGTACCAGGGGCATCTCATGAGGCACCCTACTGACCCCGTGCCCGAGTTTCCAAATGGTCAGTTTGCCCCTGGTATGTAGGATTCTGAGTAATGAATAATGTGCTAAGATGGGGGATATGTGCTACAGTAGGAGGAAAGTTTGGGAGGATATGTGCTGTGAGGGGGATTTGGGCTAAGAGGGGTATTGGGGCATCTGTAGTAAGGCAGGGGATGACACCGCACCAGGTGATACCAAACCTACTGAAGCCAGCAATAGAGTAAAGGGCAGAACCTGCCAAAGTGAACAAGGGTTTATCTGTTTGGTTTTTGAAAACAGGTGCAACCTCCTTTTAGTATACTAAGCATCTTATTAAGGTAGGAAATAGATGAATCCACAGCGGGAAGGGCCCACTTTTGTACAAACTCCTCACCAAACAGATTCAAGGCCGATAAGCACTTAGGGAGAGCAAAAAACTTATCAGGATGCTTCCAGTCTCTATAGAGAAATAATTGAAAAAACAGGTTTGAAGAGAAATTCTTTGAAGACTAATACAGCAAATACGTCGGTGATTTGGGCCATAAAGTCTCTTGTTACTGTGGTACTGACCTCAGCTGAAAAGGCAGAGGACCCAGCCACACCTGGCTGAGCTAAAGAGCACTCAGAGCAGAGTGTAACATGATTCCAGGCTGCATATGTCTGCAACATCCGTAGGCATGCTGCAAGGAGCCCCAGACCCATTAGCAGAAAGCAACTCGAGGCACCTGTTACAATGGGATTGACCTCCAACCAGCTGACCCACTCCCTCCCAACCACTGGATGTAAAACTAGACATATTGCAACCATATGGCAGTGAGGCAACATAAACGCTTAAGGTAACAAGCAAGGCCTCAGTTGTTGAAGGACAGCTGGTAGGAGATAGCCAGAAGTGACCAAAATCTCTGTAGGTGGGCAGACAGAATAGATCGAAGTTCAAAATTCTCTGTGATGCAAGCTGCTCTATGGCAAAAAAGAGTGCGCGGGTGACACTATACCCAGTGGCTGATGTTAGCACTTTGTCCCAAAGTGTTAACTCTTGTCTGCAGCAAAATCGTCAGGAACAGGGAATAAAAGTGCCCAGTAGCCTATGTAAAAGAGATAGTTCCCAGGACTCAACCCAACCAGCAAGCTCTGAGGCTGTATAAATGGACCTGGACCTTGAAAAATAACTTATAACAGGTTAGAGTCTCAAAAGCACCCTATGCAGAGCCCAGGGCTCTAAGGTCACTTCCAGTCTATCCACACAACATCCAGTCCAGTGGGGTTTGGCAATGGTACTCAAAAAGCCAGACTAAGGACAACTGCACCAGGTAGCTACCATCAAAGATGCAAAGCTCCAGCAGCAATGTAGAGAAGAGTCTTGATTAGGTAAAAAATCAAAGGAAAAAATGCAAGCAAAAACAGGCTACTCTTTAAAGTAGAATTCCATATTAAATATCACTTTAAGTAGTTTGTTTGGGTCAAGCTGGGCCCAAACTAACTATTTATGTTACAGAACAATGTGGCTGCTGGGAGTGTTGTAAAGGACTGAAGTAGCAGTGGCCACATACAGTAAGTGGCAGCAGAATGGGCGACATCTTGTCTTCTGCTGGATAAAATAGAGTTGGGCTTAGTGTTACTCTGCCATTCAGGAAAAGTCTAGTATTTTTGTGAATGAAAACCAAGCTTCCTCTGATTGGACGAGATGGTGAGGTCATCTCGCTGCCCGTCCACCTTCCTGACAATGACAACAGCAGGCCATGGTTGTGTATTGTGTGTATGCATAGTGCTTGTGGCAGAGTGAAAATGCAGAACAGTTAAGAGAGAGAAATATGCTGTCACCTTATAACAGAAAGTGCTTGAAAAAGACCTTCATGACAGGTATTATTTTTATGAAAGCAGCAGATCTGAAAAGATTTACAATGTCTATTAAAATTACATGATTATGAGTTTCTACTTATTGTGTGTACGTATACTTTAATATACAACCCCTGGCAAAAAAGTATAGAATCACCACTCTTGGAAAATATTCATTCAAATGTTTAATTGTGTAGAAAAAAAAAACAATCACAGACATGAGAGCTATTTTCATTTACATTCCAACTTTCTGGCTTTAAGAAACGCTTAAAAAAAATGAAAAGGAAAGAAAACTGTAATCATTTGTAACTGATTTTGCAGATCAAGCAGAGAAAAAAAATATGGAACAACATTCTTAGTTTAGTTAGTTATACGTTTTAAATTAGCTAACAATCCCCCTCTAATACCAAGGAGCCACAATAGTCGTTCTTCCGGTTGCAATCTATGCAAAGAACCATGGGAGGAGAGGGGATCTGAGTGTGGGCACAGCCACTGACTGGCTGCTGGGCTGAATGCAGCCATTCAGCATCTTTGCATGTACATATAGCCTAAGCCAGGGGTCTGCAACTTTTAAGACATAAAGAGCCACTTGGACCCGTTTCCGAAGGGAAAAAAAAGACTGGGAGCCGCAAAAACCATTGCAACATTTAAAACAAATCCGACACTGCATATATTGTTTCTTACCTTAATGCTATATACAGGATCGTGCAGTTAGCTTCATCCCCCATATAGTAATTCATCCCCCATAGTAATTCATCCCCATATAGTAATTCATCCCCCCTATAGTAATTCATCCCCCCTATAGTAATTCATCCCCCATATAGTAATTCATCCCCCATATAGTAATTCATCCCCCATAGTAATTCATCCCCCATATAGTAATTCATCCCCCATATAGTAATTCATCCCCCCTATAGTAATTCATCCCCCATATAGTAATTCATCCCCCCTATAGTAATTCATCCCCCACATAGTAATTCATCCCCCATAGTAATTCATCCCCCATATAGTAATTCATCCCCCATAGTAATTAATCCCCCATATAGTAATTAATCCCCCATAGTAATTCATCCCCCCACGTAGTAATTCATCCCCCACATAGTAATTCATCCCCCCACGTAGTAATTCAGTAATTCATCCCCCATAGTAATTCATCCCCCATATAGTAATTCATCCCCCATAGTAATTCATCCCCCATATAGTAATTCATCCCCCATAGTAATTCATCCCCCATATAGTAATTCATCCCCCATATAGTAATTCATCCCCCATATAGTAATTCATCCCCCCTATAGTAATTCATCCCCCCTATAGTAATTCATCCCCCCCCTATAGTAATTCATCCCCCCCATAGTAATTCATCCCCCATATAATAATTCATCCCCCCTATAGTAATTCCCCATAGTAATTCCCCCCATATAGTAATTCATCCCCCATATAGTAATTCATCCCCCCTATAGTAATTCATCCCCCATAGTAATTCATCCCCAATAGTAATTCATCCCCCATATAGTAATTCATCCCCCATATAGTAATACATCCCCCATATAGTAATTCATCCCCCATAGTAATTCATCCCCCATATAGTAATTCATCCCCCATATAGTAATTCATCCCCCATAGTAATTCATCCCCCATATAGTAATTCATCCTCCATATAGTAATTCATCCTCCATAGTAATTCATCCCCCATAGTAATTCATCCCCCCATATAGTAATTCATCCCCCATAGTAATTATCCCCCATATAATAATTAATCCCCCATATAATAATTAATTCCCCATATTGTCTCAATTCACTTACCTTTGCTCCGCGCGTTCCTCTCGCTGTGTTCCCGCGCTGTGTTCCGGTCTTCAGGGCGGACTGTGAGAGGAGTTTCGTCACGCTGCCCCGCCTACATCCTGGCTGCCCCGCCTACATCCTGACAGCTAATGTTCCACGCTCCGCGGGCCGGATTAAAAGAGTCCTGACTTTTGAGGCGGCCGCCCGAGAGGAGGGAGGGGAGCGGGCGCCCGGCACACAGAAGAGCCGCATGTGGCTTGCGATCCGCGGCTTGCCGACCACTGAAACCCTATTGCCTGTCACCTGGTGGGCAGTGTGCTCCGGAGCCGCAGCAAAGATGAAAAAGAGCCGCATGCGGCTCTGGAGCCGCGGGTTGCCGACACCCGGCCTAAGCAATGGCAGGGTTCATTCAGCCGCATGTCTCTTAAAGTTTCAGCAGTTGGAAGGAGACTTTTGCCACTGCTAGGTATTAGATTTTTAGCTAATGTTTTTTACAGGATGACAGTGAGTGGGGAAAAGCTAAATAAATTATGCATTTAGATTGCATTGTGTCTGAAGAAAAACAATTAAAGTATTGCCTTAGATTGTCTTTGTGATCTGTTGTGCAGCTTTGTCCACCATGGATCCATTCTAGATTGTGAAGAAGCACACTGGGACTTTACGATGAATCTTAATGTGCGGAGCATGTATCTCATGATCAAAACATTCCTGCCAAAAGCAAGTTGTCATTGTTTTATTCATACATTTTATAAGTGTTATTTCATATTATTTCATACAGCAGGAAAAAGAATGCGCAACCCTTGACTTTTTGCATTTTTTCTGAAAAAAATGGTTTGCAAAAATCGTTCACAGTCATGTATAATCGTACATTTATTAAATTGCATGATCATGCTACTTTTTTAATTCCATTACTAACAAGTAATCATGTGTACCCTGCCTAAGCTTATATTTAAAGTGTTTGTAAACCTTACTTTTTTTTTAAAAAACAAACAAGGGTTTTGCACAGAGCAGCCCCGATCCTCCTCTTCTCGGGTCCCCCGCTGGCTCTTCTGGCTTCTCCCCTCTGCCAAGTGCCACCATAGCAAGCAGCTTGCTATGGTGGCTAAACCCTGCCCTTCTGCTCCCTGGATGTGATTGACAGACAAGGGAGTCAATGAGGAGAGAGGGAGATGACAGAGCCACTGCTCTCATGCATATCTCCTGGATCGAGATTGGGCTCAGGTAATTATAAGGGGGGCTGGGGAGAGGGAATTGAGCATTGAAGTTTCTTTTTCTCCCTAATGCACAGAATGCATTAAGGTAAAAAAAAAAACTTCAGCTTTTACAACCACTTTAAACCCTGTGTTTTGGTCCCCACTTGTCGGCACAGACTAATCAAGAGTTCTTTTTTTGTTTGTCCAAAGAGGGTAATTGCCATCTGTATCTTTTAACCTTTTTTTGGCTTTTTACCTCTGTTTTCCCCTGGTGATCTGGTCATTAACACACCTCCTGTATTATAGTGCCCGCACTCTGAATGAAGGGGGGCATCTTTGATCAGCATCATTGTCAGTCTGGGGGGAGGGGAGTGTTACCTGTACTAGCAGATTTGGATACACTAACTGCAGTGTGAACTGGAGTTGAGCTTAAATTAGTTACACAAGCAGTTACAACAGTTTTTTTTTTCTTTTGGGAAAAATTTTAAATGAATAGATAAAAGCTGATCATTGCAAGCAGTAGTGAATTGTTTATCTCAATACTCTGACTGCTGTGTTTGCAAAAGAGTTACTCTTTTGCAAAACAACAGACTTACTGGCAGGATCACCAGGTGAAAATAAATGAAAGAGAGCCTAAAAAAGAAAACTAATACAGCCATCACATCTAAGAATTGGTAAGCTGCAATATAATTTTTGCTTTAGGGTTTAACACAGCTCTAAGGTTATCATACAATGTGCATGCACATGATGGCAGCTGAATATAGATTTTGCTTCCTTGTTAGTATTTCTGTACAGTGTGCCTATACTGATCTTATGTTACTGCATGTCTGCCAGACAAGGTTTGTCTTAATGAAACAGTGGACTTTATGCAGCATCTAATGCTGTGAAACATCCCACAATGCTCATGCTAGCCAGAGAGCATAATATTTTTCCTAAACCTTAGTTGGCATGTGCAAGCTTGTAAGCATTTTTTTGTTTATATTGGGTTTTTGCCAGAAATTGACAGTGAAATGGTAATAAATTATACCCACAATCCTGTACTGAAACTATTGAGTAATATCTGAACGTGTGAAAAAGTGTGTTCAAAACATACTGCAATTGTGGAACACATGTATGTACTGGATGTGTGCCAATCTGCTGCCAATATAAACCGAAATCTGCGGAGGACAGAACACTAGCATCTAAAGAAATAAATGAGATCCCTATCCTCTGTTTATTGGGCATTTGTCCTTGGTTACCGGAGCAGAACAGGCATAGTTAGTATAAGTGTGTAACTGTTATTGTAAGTTCCTACATGAGACCATATAGATGCAGAAAAAGTGATAGTGATTTTATGTTATGTTTTTAGATGATTGCTCAAAAGTCTGGGAACATCATCAACATGTCTTCTGTGGCTTCCAGCATTAAAGGTACCACTAGCAGTTATATCTCCTTTCTTCAGTTGTTTTGGTGAGCAAGTAAACCAGCAAACGTTTAACAACTAAGACCCCATTCACACCTGAGTGGTTTGTAACTCAAAGCATCAAAAACACACAACATTTAAAATACCATGTATTTCAATGGTGGCTCAGGAATCTGTGGCTTGATACCTGATGCTCCAAAAGCTGGTTTTGAGGCAGAAATGGACATTTCTGGCCCCAAAGACAGGAATAGGAATGCGAGTAAACAAGCAGTGTGTATTGTTGAGTAAAAAAATAATCTGCATTCCTGGTCAGTATTTTGCATTAGTACACGTAAATATGCACAAATGTACGCATATGAGCATAAGTATTAATGGGTTTGGCCTAGGAATGTATTATATGCGCATATGCACACAACACAAACACCTGAAGTTACATCCAGAAATGGTAATGCTCAAACATCAGTACTATGTGCAGGAAGCCTTTGCGGTATGGTAGACTAGAGCTAGTTTATAATTTAACCACTTTCCACCCAGCCTATTGTAAAATGGCAGCTGGGCAGGACGTTTGTCATTCCAGGTGGACATCATATGACGTCCTCCCAGAATGTCTCGTGCGCAACTGTGATCACATAGTATGATCAGGGCCAATAGCAGCCCATCTGTACCATATGATTAGCTGTGGCCAATGACAGCTAATCACAATAATACACACTGAATGAATCAATTTCATTCAGTAAACATGGTTGCTTATACCAGTGAAAATTCACTGGTATAAGCAATCATATTGTGTAAACAAAAAATAAAAATCATTTGTGTGGAAAAAAATTATAAAAAATTCATATGGGTACAGTGTTGCATGACCACTCAATTGTCATTCAAAATGCGACAGTGCGGAAAGCTAAAAATTAGCCTGGGTAGGAAGGGGGTGAAAGGGCCCAGTATGAAAGTGGTTAAAGTGGCAGTAGGGTCATACTGCAACAGACCTGATAAATGATAAGAATCATTCATTGCATCACTACAGAGTCACCAGCAGGAGGAGGGAGGTCCTGATTCTCCTATATAGATCTTTAGTTAGAACTGGAGAGTTTAATAAAAAAACGCATAGATGAGTTCTTGCTGGAAAAAAATATTTTAAGCAACAGACAGCATGGATTCATGAAAGACAGAAGCTGTCTGATTTCTTTTTATGAGGGGGTGAGCAAAACCTTGGACAGAGGGGTGGCGGTGGATGTGATATACTTGGATTTTGCAAAAGTGTTTGACACAGTTCCCCCCACATGGCTAATGTGTAAGGTAAAGTCTACAGGCTTGGAAAAATCTGTATGTAAATGGGCAGAAAATTGGCTAAAAGATTGTATTCAGAGAGTAGTGGTTAATGATTCATACTCTGAATGGTCTACGGTTGTCAGTGGTGTACCCCAAGGTTCAGTGTTGGGACCCTTACTTTTTAATATATTTATAAATGATATAGGGTCTGGGATTAAAAATACCATTTCAGTCTTTGCAGATGACACCAAGCTGTGCAGTGAAATAATGTCCTTACAGCATGTCTCAAATTTATAAGCCGAGGGGGGAGTACAACTGGGGAAATCAATGGTGGAGAAGGATCTGGGAGTTCTGGTAGATCACAAGCTTAATAATGGCATACAATGCCAAGCTGCGGTTTCTAAAGCGAGCAAAATCCTCTCTTGTATTAAAAGAGGTATAGACTCCAGAGAGAGAGATATTATTTTATCTGGAATATGCTGTTCAATTTTGGGCACCAATTCACAAAAATAACATTGGGGAACTGGAGAAAGTACAGAGAAGGGCAACCTAACTAATAAGAGGCATGGAGGAGCTCAGCTATGAGGAAAGATTAGAGGAACTGAATTTATTCTCTCTTGAGAAGAGGAGATTAAGGGGGGATATGATCAACATGTATAAATACATCAGTGGTTCATATAGTGAACTCGGTGTAGAGCTATTCACTGTGAGATCATCACAGAGGACAAGGGGGCACTCTTTACGTCTGGAGGAAAAGAAATTTAATTTCCAAATACAGAAAGGTTTCTTCACAGTAAGAGCTTCTCCCTCACAGTAAGAGCTGTGAAAATGTGGATTGAGGGACTCCCTCAAGTCCCACCAATCACATGCTTTGGTGTTCATGTGGGTGTGTGATAATGTTGTGGGGACTGTCAATGTTAAATTGAACACCCCGAAACAAGTTCCAGTTCTGGAAACGCACGATTACCAAATATATCGCATTGCAAGATAGAATGAGTTCAGAGATGGGCAACAAAAATAGTGAAAAGTTTGAGGGATAAAATATATCAAGAGCGACTTCAGGAACTTAATATTTCCACTCTGGAGCAAAGAAAGAAAAGGACATGACTGAAATCTTAATACTTCAAGGGGGTGATTAAGGTTCAGGAGAGCCTATTTTCAATATGAAACCAAGATCAAGAATACAGGTACATGATCAGACTAGCAAAACTTTAAGAACTGAGGGTAATGCTGTTTGGAACGACTTTCTGAGATGTGAAAAGTAAATGGACAGTGTCACGCACCGCATTCAGTGTAAAAAGAAAAAATATAAAAAAAAACATATTTACATATAAAACGGGTACACTCCCACTTGGTCTTAATCCATCTTCTTTTTGTAATCATTCGCTTAAAGCACCAATATTTCACAGAATAGGTTAATTAGAACTACAGACAAGCCTCTAAATATGGAGAACCAGAACAGATTTAAAAGCTAAAACAGATTTGGACATGGTTAACACTTGAATCCTGTGGCCTCTACGACAGCTTGGTGTTCATGTGATCTGGTGTGGGTGTCAATGTTAAATTGACACCCCGCAAGTTGCTGCGATTGCCAGATTAGCATTGCATATTCAGAACATTCATGCATTCACTGTGCGTGTTAAAAAAAGGGCCTGCACCTTTTGGTGCAGATATGATGCAATTTGCCTCCCGATTTCTGTGTGAATTAAATGCAGTGTCAACTGCTAAAAACTGTAATTATTCACTTCTGCCACACTGCAGAACCAGGACAGTGAAACCACAATTTTAGTGTGGCTTTACAGCTTCCTTCAATACCCGCCTGCTTATTAGAATAAATATTCATATTGGCATACTGCTAAGGGCCTTCCTGAGCCTCCCTCTTGGGGCAAACTGGCTAAAAACTGTCCCCGCCAGCAGCCCCACTCTCCTCTCTTTATGCATTCACAGGTCATAGAGGCAGCAGCGGGAACCATTGGATCCTTCTGCTGTTTGTCAAATCCTGTGAGGAGGGAGCGAGGGAAGTGGTCTAGCCTCGCTGTGAGTGTCTATGGATGCTCTCAGCCTGGCTCAGGAGCGCACTGCATGAGTGATCCCATAGCGCGCAGCTTGCTATTGGGGCATTTGGAAGGGAGAAGGCGCCAAGAGCACTAGTAGGACCCCAGATTAGGAGGAAAGGGACCGCTCTGAGCAAAACCATTGCACAGAGCAGGTAAGTATAACATGTTTATTATTTTAATTAAAAAAAAACAATCAGTTTAACACAAGCTGCAGATTAAAAAAAAATTTAAACAACTTTTGAAACCACATTAATGTTTTTTTTAAAAGCTTATACTGTATGAGATTTTATTGATTCTGCTTAGATCTATTTTATTTCTATGTTGTACTTACTGCTGCATTCCAACCTATAGCTGTGTGTTTTGTATAGAAATCGGACATATAAAGATTATATTGGCTAAATGGTTAGCACTTCCACCTGGCAGTACTAAGGTCATCAGTTTGAATCCCAACCACGGCACCACCTGCCTGGAGTTTGCATGTTCTCCCTGTGCCTGCGTGGGTTTCCTCCGGGTACTCCGATTTCCTCCCACAATCCGAAGATATGCTGGTAGGTTAATTGGCTCCTGTCTAAATTGGCCCTAGTATGTGTATGTATGAATGTGAGTTAGGGACCTTACATTGTACACCCCTTGAGGGTTAGGGACTGATGTGAATGTACAATATATATATGTAAAGCGCTGCGTAAATTGATGGCACTGTATAAGTACCTGAAATAAATAATAAATAATATTGATCAACAAGTTTACCCATTTAGTGCTATAACCTGAAAAATAAACAAGATAAATGTACAGCATATCCTTGAAGGCACGATGTTTGTTCATAATATGCCTACTGCAATCAAGTGTAACTTTTTTGGAACTTCATTTTCATTTTCTAGTAGATCAGCTTGTCTGAGTATGTTTACTATGATTTTTTTTTTTTTTTTTCTAGGAGTGGTAAATAGATGTGTATATAGCACATCAAAGGCTGCTGTGATTGGTCTAACTAAATCGGTTGCTGCAGATTTCATTGATCAAGGAATAAGGTGTAACTGTATATGCCCAGGTATGTACAATATCAGTATGGTACCATTATTATTATTATTATTATTATTATACAGGATGTATATAGCGCCAACAGTTTGCTCAGCGGTTTACAATATAACGGGAGACAATACAGTAACAATACAAGAGGCAAAGGAGGGCCCTGCTCCTTGGAGCTTACAATCTAGGAGGGAGGGGCTAGTGGTACAAAAGGTAGTAAGGTGTGGGGGATGGACTGGTTGGAAGAGTAGAAGATTATTATCCTGAGGGCAGGATAGGCTTCCCTGAAGAGATAGGTTTTCAGAGATCGCCTAAAAGTGAGCAGAGTAGGCGATAGTCTGATAAATAGAGGTAGAGAGTTCCAGAGGATGGGGGAAGCTCTGGAAAAGTCCTGGAGACGAGCATGGGAGGAGGAGGACAAGGGAGCTAGAGAGCAGGAGGTCTTGCGAGGAGCGGCTAGTACGGTTTGGGTGATATTTAGATTTACCAAATTTAAAGCAGTTGTAAAGGTAGATTTTTCTTCCTAAAATAAAAAAAAAAATGTTATTCTTACCTGCTGTGTGCAATGGTATTACACAGAGTGGCCCCAAACTTCCTCTTCTTGGGTCCCCCACTGACGCACTCAGCTCTTCCACTTCTGTGTGTACACAGGCTGCCTGTCATTCTCTTCTATCACTAGCGATGGGAGTGACATCTCCTTGTCTCAGATACAGAGGGATTGATTTCATAGGGACAAACAAGCAGCCGCTTAGCGATCCTGCAGCTGGTAATTTCATCAAATTGTCAGTGGCAGGATCGCTAGTGGCAGTCACCCAATTGACATCAGTCTAAAAACTTTAACTTCCCATTTCCTGCAATTTTTCCTGCACGTTCCTGAAAATAAAAAGGTTTTCTATTATATCCTCTGTAATGTAAACATTTTTAGTGGAAGAAAACATAGGTCAGCGGTTCTCAACCTGTGGGTCGCGACCCCTTTGGGGGTCGCATGACCCTTTCACAGGGGTCACCTAAGACCATTGGAAAACACATATTTCCGATGGTCTTAGGAATCGAGACACCGCTCCTTTATCCGTCTCCAGGCAGGTCAGCCCACATGCAGATACACCCACATACGAGTACCCGGCGTGATGACATCATCGCGCCAACCCCATCACAAACAGCCCATACAAATACAGGTGTATGTGACAGGGTTGGCACCATAATGTACTTATGTGGACCCAGGGGCGGACTGACCATTTGGAAACTCGGGCACTGCCCGAGGGCCCGGGGTCAGTAGGGGGCCCCATGAGATGCCCCTGGTACCTTTTCATAGGCTTTTTTGGGTGTGGTTTGAGTGTGGGTGAGGACACCGGGGCCCATGATCCCCTATTGCCCGGGGGCCCCATGAGTTGTCAGTCTGCCCCTGTGTGGACCAGTCACACGTGTAAAGAGCAGCTGCTGTGAAGAAAGCAGCTGCTGTGTTGAAATCAGCTACTCTGTTAAAAGCAGCTACTGTGTTGAAAGCAGAAGTATTGGAGGTAAAACGACACTTCATGAATTATAATTACTGGGTAAATGTAAAATCATGAAAATACATCCTGCATATCAGATATTTACATTACGATTCATAATAGTAGCAAAATTACAGTTATGAAGTAGCAACGAAAATAATTTTATGGTTGGGGGGGTCACCACAACATGAGGAACTGTATTAAAGGGTCGCGGCATTAGGAAGGTTGAGAACCACTGATTTAATTAAAGGGATCTATGCACTATCATCGTTTTTAAGTGTGAATGGACTATTGGACATTCGGTAGCGTAGATGCATCCTCCGATGTGTTCCTTTCTATTATGAACATGCAGGTCAGAAAAAATATAAATAGCATGTACGATGCTTAGTTATATGCGCAGCAATCATTTTAATGCTTCTTAATATTTCATCAGTGGAGAAAGTGTTTGTTCACGCTTGCAGTCAAGGGATGGTAAAAGCAGGCAGTTGAGCTGTAGGTTTTCCTCCCCTGGCCTTGGCAAAATAAAAAAATACCCTGTTACATTCAGTGGGCAGTACTGCCATAGAATGCAACCCCTTAAAGTTAATGGGGTCATCCTGCAATAGCCCTGGAACCATTGCAATGTATGCATTTGTGACACGGTAGTTGAGCCTTTTTGAGGTTAAAACATATCGCCTCCCAGCTGCCTGTCAACTGCACTCTGAAAAGAGATCGACCACAAATAGTTTTTCAGAGGTTGCAAGGGCTGCTGCACATAACAATAAGCCCAATGGACCAATATTTAAATGTAAAGTTATATAGGAAGTTGGGGCAATGTCCTTTTATATGTTCTGACTCCAATATTTGCCCGAATAAGATTACCTTTCAGCTTACCAGTCTTTCCTTAAGACTATCCAATTCGTGCTTTTGTGTTATTGGATGATAAATCTCCAGGACTGCATTAAGAGGGCTAAATCATTTGGGCCCAATAACATGGGTAGGCCTAAGGGTAAAACAAATATAAATGCCTAAGCACAATTCTGCAACGTTGACATGTGTTAGTAAAACCGTACATATCATCACAACTACTTTGTACATCCAGGTGGATTATACCTTGTTTTTTTTCTGGACAAATTGGGCTTTCATTTGGTGGTAAATGGTAATGAATAGCTCCTAATTTTTTTTTTTTATTATCAAAGGAAAACTGGCCCAAAATAGTAAAATAAAAAAAATTGTTTTTCTTTTATTTAGCAGTGTGTTTCTTGTTATGACCATAACCTACCTCCATAGAACAACCCAAAATACATTCTCCAGCTCTTGCCAGTCGCAGCGATACCATATATGTGTATGTTATTTGTTGTTTGTACCCGTAGTAAGTACAGCCCAGAAACAATAGTGCGCATTTTGTTTTTGTCTTTTTTTTTTTTTTTTTTTTTTTTTTTTTTACCTAAAACACACTGACATTAACGCTAACTGACACTGATACCAATTTCTTTTTAAATCCTGACCTTTGACCCTGACCCAAACACTAACCCTGGTACTGAACTAGATCAAACCTTGATCTAGGTATTTTTCTTTATTTTTTTAATATTTATCTTTTTTTTTTTTTTTTTTTTTTTTTAACAAACATTTTTTTATCTCTCTATGTCAGGAGTTAGAGAGATACAATGTATCTCTCTTCTCCATTCATAGAGAGAGAAAAAACAAGGGGGCCGGGCTGCACAGGGACTGATCACTGTGATAGCCAATCAGAGGCTATCACAGCGATCACGTGACCCAGAATCGGGAGTCCTGGGTCCCGATCATTAGAACGGGACCCGGGGCTCTCAGTGACACTGCGGTCTCTGTGCTGGGAGTGCACCGAGCGGCGCATTCCCAGCACAAAGACAGGTACACAAATGTGCGGCCCCACGGAAAAAAGCCCAGTTCTGTGAGTCCGCATATTTGTGTGCCGTCGGCGTCAAGGGGTTAAAAAAAAAAAAAGAGATATGTATATACATATATATAAGGTTACTGTGCCTTTAAATTTTAAAGAGAGTTTGGGCGGGAAAACAAGTAGCACGTGACCTGGGAGAAAATTCCAGAAGGTCACATGACTAGTGGAAAGTTCTAGAAAGTGGGGCTCATTATATATACTATATATATAGGAGCTCCATCGGCGGAGATTGCCAGCTGGTCCGTGTCAGTGCAACGAGCTCCCTCCCCTTTTTGTCGCAAGGCACGTTATGTGGTATTGTCACCCTTTACATTTAAAGGGAGGACTGTTGTTATATTTATTCAGTTTGATCTCTAGTCCTTAACCACTTGCCCTCCTGAGGATTTACCCCCCTTAACCTCCTTGGCGGTATTCCCGAGTGTAGCTTCCCATTCCCGTGTAGCTCGGGGTAACATTTCAGTACCAAAAGCGGTAACCCCGAGCTACACTCGGGAATACCATGCGGCGCTGCTCCGGCATGTGTTCTTCACTTACCTTACCCTGCGCTCCCACGATGTGTCCCCTGCAGCGTCCCCGGCCATCTCCTCCGGCCGATGCCGGCATCCGGCTTCTGTGTCCTGTCCCTGTGACGTCGGGACGTACGGGCGCCGCCGGCGGCGGCGGGAAATTTAAAAATTTTAAAAAAATGTCATTTTTTTTTTTTTTTTTTACATTTTACACAGTAAAACATTGCTGTTTCAACCTATTTCACATACATTTTGTCCCTAGTGCTTTGTCCTGTGCCCTGCCTGCATTTTGTCTGTTCTTTCTGCCTGGAAACTGAGAAATGTCCATGGCGTCCAAAAAGTGTCCCTTTAGGTCAAAAGCGGTTTAGATCAGCTAGAGAACAGCGATAGTAAATCAGAACCACTTGCAGAATTGAGTGATAATGATTCGTGGGGGAAATTCGTCATCAGAAACTGAAAACGATTTTGCGACTGAGCTCAGCAATGTGCGAACTTGGCGCTCTATTTCACATTTCAGTGTTTTTGGTTTGATTATATTATTGAATTAAATTTTTTATTATTTTTATATTTTTATGATTATTTATTAAATTATAATTTATGATTTTGTGTTTCAAATTTTATCATACCCGGGATGTTTACTAGACTCTTGTTCGGACAGATTTCAGTGAGTTTTTCCTAAAAATTACAGCCTACAATAAAAAAAATACATATTTCCATGCAAAAAAATGGTACCGCTTTCAGCACCAAAAATCTGAACTAATCATACCGCCAGGGAGGTTAATAACCAGGCCTCTTTTTGCTACTCAGCGCTTCACTAATTCAACTGATAATTGCGCGGTCATGCAATGCTGCACCCAAACAAAATTTACGTCCTTTTTTTCACACAACTAGAGCTTTCTTTTGGTGGTATTTGATCACCTGTGCGCTTTATTTTTCACGCTATAAACAAAAAAAGACCAAATATTTTGAAGAAAAACTATATTTTTTACTTTCAGCTATAAAAAATATATAGTAAACTCAAAGTTAGTTATAAATTTAGGCCAAAATGTATCCTGCTACATGTTTTTGGTAAAAAAAAATCCCAATAAGTGTATATTGATTGCTTGGTGTGAAAGTTATAGCGTCTACAAACTATGGTATAGATACTGCAATTTATGCCATTTTTTTGCTATACAGCGCTGCGCTAGTTTAACGGACAATTACGCAGTCATGCAATACAGTACATAAATGAAATTTACCTCCTTTTTTTCCCCATAAATTGAGCTTTCTTTCGGTGGTATTTGATCGCCTGTGCGGTTTTTATTTTTTGCGCTATAAAAAAAAAAAAAAAAGGCTGACAATTTTGAGGGAAAAAAAACAATATTTTGGACTTTTTGCTATAAAACATTTCCAGTAAAAAAAAATTTAAAAATCAAATTTAGTCATAAATTTCTGCCAAAATGTATTCTGCAACATGTCTTTGCTAAAAAAAAAAAACCCAATACGTGTAAATTAATTGGTTTACGTGAAAGTTATAGCGTTTACAAATGGCGGCAAAGATACTCGGATTTTTAATTTTTTTTTATACTAATAATGGCGGCAATCAGCGACTTATGGCGGGATCAGCGACTTATGGTGGACATTCTGACACGGGGGGGAACTGACTTGGGGTCACTGACATCCCCAGTGACACCAATACAGTGATCATTGCAAAAAAAAACCACTGACACTGTACTAATGGCACTCGGGAGGAAGGGGTTAATTTTTTTATTCACTGAAAGGGTTAACTGTGTGAGGGGAGTGTTTTACTAGGGGCAGGGGTGTATACTGCACGGGGACACGCTAATCCGGAGAGATAAACTCTTCTCTCCCGATCAGCGTGTCAGGAGCTGTCAGGGAACTGACAGAAAGCAGAGCTACTGCAGCCCTGCTCTCTGTCAGTGATTGCCGCTAATCGGCGGGTCACAGCCGGTAATGACCGGCTGTGACCCAGCGACTGACACCCGCGGCCGGGATCGGCGGTGCAGGTATGGCAGCGGCGTGCCCCCTACCTGTTTTTCAAAAGCGCGTTTTAAAACGTGCTTTTGCCCAGCCGTACCGCCCTGCCGCCGTATTTCTAGAGTGGCTGGGCGGCAAGTGGTTAATGACTAAGCTATATGATTGTTATTTGATAAGAGAAGTATAAACTTGATTATTAATTATTTATAATATTTGTTATTATCTATTTATTTAAACCAATGAAGTGCCACGGCCAAAATTTTGCCATTAACTACCTCCCGCCCACCATATAGTAATATGACGGGCACAAGGTGGTTCTCTCGTTCTGGGAGGACGTCATATGACGTCCTCCCATTCTCACTGCGCATGCGCGGCGATCGGTGGTGCGCTGTGTCCCTCGGACACAGCGGATCACGGAAAGAGCCGAAGATGTGTGGCTCGGTCATGTGATCAGCTCTGTCCAATCACAGCTGATCACATGTAAACAGGGAAATGCCGGTCATCGGCATTTCTCTCCTCTCGAGCTGTCACGCTTACAGCTTGAGAGGAGAGCCGGTAATCAGATTTCCGCAGAGGGGACATGTACACTGATCATCAGGGCATAAGGGGAGCGTATAGGAATGCTAAAACATTGTAAGATGCTCACCAATAGTACCTCTATGTATCTCACATGTAGCCACCTCAGGATTATCCAAGAGAAATGCAAGTGCCAAAGATCTAATATAAATAGTAGTGATTCAATGCTCACATGCCAATGAGCAGCTGTCACTATTTGGCACCAAATGTGGTAAGTAATTAAGTATATTGGTTCTCCCCCCATCTTGCTGTACAAACAGTATCATGGCTGCCATTCATGGTCCCCCGGCCCCACGAGTATGCATCGCCACCACACGAGGTGACATCACGTGTATGCACGGCGCATCCAACCAGCCGCGGCCCAACAACGGCACCGCAAACACACCCCCAGCAGCCCAGGAAAAAGGGTATGCTGACCCCTGCTGGGGAGAACGCATATTGCAGATACCCAAGATTAAGGCTGGAAAACACAAGGCCCCCCTGAGGAAAGAAACCCTGGGGGGACCCGTGCGTGTCGGGTGGTGGATGGCAACGCCAGACCACCCCAAGACTGTCAGTGAGCGCATCCACCCTTCAATATAAAAAAAAAATAGCATAATGATGCAAGTGGTACATACAGAGTATTACTGAGATACAAAAAGGAAAACGCCAAGGAAAAAGCATAAACGGTATAAATAAAATAATACATACAGTGGGGCAAAAAAGTATTTAGTCAGCCACCAATTGTGCAAGTTCTCCCACTTAAAGAGATGAGAGAGGCTTGTAATTGGCATCATAGGTAGACCTCAACTATGAGAGACAAAATGACAAAAAAAAAATCCAGACAATCACATTGGCTGATTTAGAAAGAATTTATTTGCAAATTATGGTGGAAAATAAGTATTTGGTCAATATCAAAAGTTCATCTCAATACTTTGTTATATATCCTTTGTTGGCAATGACAGAGGTCAAACGTTTCCTGTAAGTCTTCACAAGGTTGGCACACACTGTTGCTGGTATGTTGGCCCATTCCTCCATGCAGATCTACTCTAGAGCAGTGATGTTTTGGGGCTGTCGCTGGGCAACACGGACTTTCAACTCCCTCCAAAGGTTTTCTATGGGGTTGAGATCTGGAGAATGGCTAGGCCACTCCAGGACCTTGAAATGCTTCTTACGAAGCCACTCCTTCATTGCCGGGCGGTATGTCCTTGTCATGTTGGAAGACCCAGCCACGTTTCATCTTCAATGCCCTTGCTGATGGAAGGAGGTTTGCACTCAAAATCTCACGATACATGGCCCCATTCATTCTGTCCTGTACATGGATCAGTCGTCCTGGTCCCTTTGCAGAGAAACAACCCCAAAGCATGATGTTGCCACCCCCATGCTTCACAGTAGGAATGGTGTTCTTTGGATGCAACTCAGCATTCTCTCTCCTCCAAACACGACGAGTTGTGTTTCTACCAAACAGTTCTATTTTGGTTTCATCTGACCATATGACTTTCTCCCAATCCTCTTCTGGATCATCCAAATGCTCTCTAGCAAACTTCAGACGGGCCCGGACATGTACTGGCTTAAGCAGGGGGACACGTCTGGCACTGCAGGATCTGAGTCCCTGGCGGCGTAGTGTGTTACTGATGGTAGCCTTTGTTACGTTGGTCCCAGCTCTCTGCAGGTCATTCACTAGGTCCCCCAGTGTGGTCCTGGGATTTTTGCTCACCGTTCTTGTGATCATTTTGACCCCACGGGGTGAGATCTTGTGTGGAGCCCCAGATCGAGGGAGATTATCAGTGGTCTTGTATGTCTTCCATTTTCTAATTATTGCTCCCACAGTTGATTTGTTCACACCAAGCTGCTTGCCTATTGCAGATTCAGTCTTCCCAGCCTGGTGCAGGTCTACAATTTTGTTTCTGGTGTCCTTCGACAGCTCTTTGGTCTTCACCATAGTGGAGTTTGGAGTGTGACTGTTTGAGGTTGTGGACAGGTGTCTTTTATACTGATAACAAGTTCAAACAGGTGCCATTGATACAGGTAATGAGTGCAGGACAGAGGAGCCTCTTAAAGAAGAAGGTACAGGTCTGTGAGAGCCAGAAATCTTGCTTGTTTTAGGTGACCAAATACTTATTTTCCACCATAATTTTCAAATAAATTCTTTCCAAATCAGCCAATGTGATTGTCTGAATTTCTTTTCTCATTTTGTCTCTCATAGTTGAGGTCTACCTATGAAGCCAATTACAGGCCTCTCTCATCTTTTTAAGTGGGAGAACTTGCACAATTGGTGGCTGACTAAATACTTTTTTGCCCCACTGTACATGGCACAATACATGGAATAGATGAAAAATTACAAATCCCTTTCACACACCCCAGAGCGAAACTCAGGCAGAAATGGTTTGAAATTAAGGGCCTCATTTGGGCCAGGTGAATTGAACAGCTCTAGACATCGAATACCAGATTTTCAATAAGCTACCAGGGTGATTCTATAGCTACTTCTCATCTCCTGTGTTGGGACCATCACAGATACCTGAGTTTCATGTATGCTTTCTAGTAAAACCCTTTGAAACCAACAAGTGCTGAATGAAGGGTAGAAAGAGTTCTTATACTTTGGACCACCAGTTTATACTTTCTATCTGTTTAGGAACTGTGGACACCCCATCTTTAAGAGAACGAATCCAAGCCAGACCAGACCCTGAGCAGGTAAGAAGGCAGCACCATATCAATATAATTAAGTTATATACCAACACATTGGTGCTTATATGTTGTGTTTTGTCCATGGTTGGAATAGGCTTTGAAGGACTTTCTGGCAAGGCAGAAGACTGGCAGAATGTGTACTGCTGAAGAAGTAGCACATCTTTGTGTATATTTGGCTTCTGATGAAGTAAGTTATGTGCGCACATCTGTTTAAATGTTACATCTGGGGTTGGTTCTAGTTGCAACAATAACTTAAAAGGGGCAAAAATAAATTATTTGAATAACTGCCTACTTACTCATAACCAGAGACTGAGCTCCTTGTTTTTGGGTTTTGTGCTGGAATTGGAAACATATAAATAATGTTTGTTATAAGAAGTCAATTCTATATCTCACATTTAGAGGTAGGTATTTTATCTCCATTTTAAGTACCTCACTGTGGCCTTAAAGTGGTTCTAAAGCCTAAACATTTTTTTCCTTAATACATTTCTTGCATTAAAGTGGTAGTAAGCTTTCATTTTTTATTATTACCTACAGGTAAGATTACAATAAGGCTTACCTGTAGGTAAAATGAATATCCCCTAAACGTGCACCGAGATATTCGTGTAAGCAGCAGTCGGTGACGTCACTGGTGCATGCGCTCTGAAGGAGTAGTCACCTGTGCTGTTTCTTTAGAGCTGTGTGCTGAGGCTGAGACTCCATTCAAATGGCCACAGCCTGCAAACCTGGAAGAAGGAGCAGGTGAAGAGGGAATCCTCTGCAGCAGTGACCGCGCACTGCTGGAGGGCTTCGCTTTCCAGGTAAGTTTTCATAATGTGCTGGTATGCAATGCATACTAGCACATTATGATATTGCCTTGCAGGAAGAAACTTTTTTTTTTTTTCTTCTAACAAGTGGTTTACTACCGCTTTAAGGTAAAAAAAAAATGTTTAGGCATCGGTGTTGGCCCTTCACCCCCTTTATACTTAACTGAGCCCTCATTTGATCAAGCGCTTTGCACATCTGCAGCTCTTCTCTCCCCTCACTTCTGGGTCTCACAGGCTTTGCTGAGGTAGTGGGAACTATTTGCTCCCACTGCTGTCAATCAAAGCTAGTGATGAGGGAGTGGGGCTGAGTCCCACTGTTTTAATGGACGCAACAGCGGGGTTCGGCAGCGAGCCTGCATGAGTGCCCCCAGGGAAAGCGGCTTCTTATTGGGGGCACTAGCCAGAGAGGAGTACCTAGGCGCGCCAGCGGGGGACCCGAGAAGAAGAGGTTTGGGGTCGCTCTGTGCAATTTTATGCACTGAGCAAGTATGTTTAGACATGTTTGTTATTTAGCAATTGTTTTCCTTTACAACCACTTTAATGGTTGTACTGTTACCCTAGACTCAAGCCTTACACCGAACAGCCAGTAAGGCCACAAATTCCACTTATGAGGGCAAAGAAGCCTGAAATGGCTGTATGCAAGTTGGTCTTACTGGCTCTGTAAAATGTAAAACAATATCTGTGGTATGCACCAGTGTTTCTTGATGCACTGATGGCTAAAAAGGAATGTTTTGCCTTACTCCGCCCACTTGCCCATAAGCAAAGATTGAGCTCCTTGTTTTCAGATTTTGTGCTGAAAGTGAGGACAGGTAAATATTTACTGTTGTCAAAAGGCAATGAGACAATATGCAACTCTCAAAATACAGTATCTCATGGAAGTGAGTACACCCCTCACATTTTTGTAAATATTTTGTTATATCTTTTCATGTGACAACACTGAAGAAATGACACTTTGCTACAATGTAAAGTAGTGAGTGTACAGCTTGTATAACAGTGTAAATTTGCTGTCCCCTCAAATAACTCAACACACAGTCATTAATGTCTAAACTGCTGGCAACAAAAGTGAGTACAAAAATGTCCAAATTGCGCCCAAAGTGTCTATTTTGTGTGGCCACCATTATTTTCCAGCACTGCCTTAACCTTCTTGGGCATGGAGTTCACCAGAGCTTCACAGGTTACCACTGGAGTCCTCTTGCACTCCTCCATGACGACATCACGGAGCTGGTGGATGTTAGAGACCTTGCGCTCCTCCACCCTCCATTTGAGGCTGCTTCACAGATACTCAATAGGGTTTAGGTCTGGAGACATGCTTGGCCAGTCCATCACCTTTACCCTCTGCCTCTTCAGCAAGGCACTGGTCATCTTGGAGGTGTGTTTGGGGTCGTTATCGTGTTGGAATATTGCCCTGCGGCCCAGTCTCTGAAGGGAGGGGATCATGCTCTGCTTAAGTGTGTCACAGTACATGTTGGCATTCATGGTTCCCTCAATGAACTGTAGTTCCCCAGTACCAGCAGCACTCATGCAGCCCCAGACCATGACACTCCCACCACCATGCTTGACAGTAGGCAAGACACACTTGTCTTTGTACTCCTCACCTGGTTGCCGCCACACATGCTTGACACCATCTGAGCCAAATAAATTTATCTTGGTCTCATCAGACCACAGGACATAGTTCCAGTAATCCATGTCCTTAGTCTGCTTGTCTTCAGCAAACTGTTTGCGGGCTTTTTTGTGCATTATCTTTAGAAGAGGCTTCCTTCTGGGACGACAGCCATGCAGACCAATTTGATGCAGTGTGCGGCATATGGTCTGAGCTCTGACAGACTGACCCCCCCCCACCCCCTTCAACCTCTGCAGCAATGCTGGCAGCACTTGTACATCTATTTCCCAAAGACAACCTCTGGATATGATGCTGATCGCGTGCACTCGACTTCTGTGGTCGACCATGGCGAGGCCTGTTCCGAGTGGAACCTGTCCTGTTAAACTGCTGTATGGTCTTGGCCACCATGCTGTAGCTCAGTTTCAGGGTCTTGGCAGTCTTCTTATAGCCTAGGCCATCTTTATGTAGAGCAACAATTCTGCTTCTTTCTGCTTCCTTCTAGAAGTCCCAGACAGAGAAGTAAGCAAAACCCATGACTTGTTTATGGAACAACTGTGAAGGAATTTGATTCTATGCATTTTTTCCTTTATGACTCGTTGTTTCTGCTTCTTTTGTAGTGTGTCTAAACTGCAAATTTCAAAACAACCTAGTAAAGAATAATCTAAACACTCTGTAGTCTAGGGAGGACAAGTGTCCCTTATCTTTTGTCAAATAAAACTTCCAAAGTTGAGCATGAACCTATTGCAGGAATTCTATATCTATCTTACTTTATGGCTAGTTACTTGCTTAGTCACACTTAAAGTGAAATTCCAGCCATTTTTTTGTTTATATTAAAAGTCAGGAGCTACAAAAACTGTGAGAGTGAAAGAGTGAAGAATTCACTCTCCACTGACCAGAAAGATAAGTATACAACTTCTGGTAAAGCCTGGAACTAATTTTTTCTCAGCATTTTGACAGAGACAATTGAACCTCAAGAGAAAAAATCTCCTGCAACAGTACAAAAAAAGCAATTTAATATGTAGGAGATTTTAAAATCATGTTCCTGTGGCCCTAAGAACACTTACAAACAGATAATATAAATTCCATGCAGATTGGGTCTTGACCTGTAATTGGTATCAAGATGCAATTCAGCAGCACTTCAAAAAAACATACATAATCCTCTAGAGGTATGTTCTGCACACACTATTACACCGCCATTACAGAACTATAAACTGAAATGGGTTTTCCAGGAAAACAAAACCTTGGATCTTTGCTTCTGGTCGCAAAAGGAATACTAAGTTTGGCATTTCTAAATTCCCTCAGAAAATGTTAGTTTCTTGGCAGTTCTGCCCTCTGTCTTTTTGAGTCACTGATCCAAAATAAGACAACAGGTTTAGCTTAATTTTTTTAGAGCAATTCTATATAACTGCAGCAGAACATGTTGCTTGTAAGAGAAAGCAAGAAGGACCAAAGGGGTATTTGCCCTGGAAAATCCTTTTGAAAATATGTTTACTGCAAAGAGCATTATATTGCTTAGTACTGGTTTAAATGTTTTTGTTTATAAACTTCTTTCTTTTTTCAGGCTGCCTATGTGACCGGTAATGCACATATTATTGATGGTGGCTGGAGTCTGTGAATTTGGATTTCCCACATGGGTAGTTGTACTACCATACATCAAGTGAAAGAGAGAAGAAAATACAGTTTATATTAAAGTTTAACTAATGTTCTTTTAACAAATCAATGCACAATAATGCATTTATTTTCTTATAGAAGATCATTTTCCACGTGTTTTGATGCAGCAGTTTTGTAAAGCAGGAAAGGCAGATGTTCAATTACTTTTCTTTCTTACAAAATGGTGTAACAGCACACTGTACAATTATTTAGATAAAAATTCATAACATTTGATTACCTTTGTGTTTGCGTATGCATAGCTTTAAAGTAGAAATATAGACTAAACTTTTTTTTTTTCATTTTAGATAGCGGAAGGGGTTATAACCCCAGTCAGATTTTTTTTTTTCTGCCATCTGTGTCCCATTACAGAGATTTCCCTTCACTTCCTGTCCCATAGCCAAAACAGTAAGTGTGAGGAAATCCCTGAAAATTAAGGGCATCCCTCAGGGACCCCCAGGTCACCAGATCTTGTGTCCCCATTGGAAGATTTCCCCTCTATTACTTTTCTGGGAACAACCCAAAGTTTGGGATTTTCTTTTACTTTCAATGATAATGGTAAACACAGACAGACAGACAAAAAAACAAACAAACAGGTGTCCTGGTGTTCTCCACTCTATCTAAAACTAAAAAAAAAATGTGCCTTTAGTTTTAATTTAACTTACTTTTTTCAGTTTTGGATACAGTAGAGAAGGTTTAGAACCCCTGTGGGTTTATTTTTTGCTGTCTGTGTCCCATCTGTGTCCCATTAATTAACCTTCAATTTCTGTACCATAGATGCAAAATGAAGTTACAGGAAATATCTACAAAGTGAGGGGAATTCATCTCTTAGACAGCTGTTACTGGAACAGGTCTCCCACCTGAAAAAGTTCCCATCACCCTTTGTTTTGGAAACAATGCCCACCAGGACATAGACAAACCAAGAGGAGAACCCTTTCAATAAAATTGACAGAGGTTCTAATCTTTCCCTACTCCATCCAAAACTGAAAAAAGATTTTAGATATAAACACAGTTTAGTTATATTTGTTTATTTAACGAACTGAGTTTTCAACACGCATATGTGAATGAGCTCTTGATTGCATTTGGCAGCCTTTGGGCTTGTTCACATGTAAAGTTGGGGGGGTAAAAGCCTGTGGTTGAGTTGCTATCTTCCAATCCCTACCCCCTTTAGCTGCTGAGGCAGCATCCAAAGGTGTACACATTCTGCAGCGGGATTAAAACCCGTTGCTTTTGGTGGGTGCTACCGCCTGCCAATTATGACCCATTCTGGAAGCGCCCCACAACTGTATGCTTCTGCGGGGTCCAAAGGAGTTAAAGCAGATGGTGAGAAAGCAACACAAACATTGCCTGCTTTAACTCCTTGTTTGCTGTACTGCACAAGATTGCAGGGCATTTGCAGAGTGGACTCATTAAATTGAATGGGTCATGCTCGGCAGGTGCTACACCCACCAACCATGACAGGGAGTAAAACTACTGCTGCGGCTGTGACATATGTACACCCCTGGCCACTGGAGCTAAAGGAGCTGCGGTTTGGGCGGGGGTGGTAAAAACATGTCTTAACTATAGGGTTTTACTACTCCCCAAATGTAAATGAACACTTACTATTCTGAGCCCCCTATAAGGCTGCTTTCACACTGATGTGCACCTGCGACTTTCCTGGGTTAGCACTTTAAGAAAGTGCTCCAAACCCGCAGGATATAAAAAAAAAACTATGGCTAAGTGAAGCAAACCCACAAGAAAGCTGCAGGTACACTGCACTGCACCCGCAGTGTGGGTAAACCACAGCCCATGAAAGCGTGTGAAAGCAGCCCTATACAATTATGTCCGGTGTATTGATTCACACTGACCTAAAGACTTCTTCTTTCCTGTTGCTGGCATCACTCTGGAAAGTGGAGACTGCTAGTCAGGATAAAGGGTGGAGTGCAGTTGGTATCACTCCACATGGGACAGAAGCAAGCACTACAGAGGAGGCATCAGCTTATGCAGCTCTTGCTCCTTACTACAGCTCCAACTTTACAAGTAGTCCCTCTGGATTGCACTCTGTTTGATGCTCTGGGATGACGGGTCAGCAAGCCCAGACCAAGATCGACCAGTCACCTGGCCACGATCTACTGGTAGATCGTAATCTACTGGTTACTGACCCCAGCATTGGTGTTAAATAAATTGTAGATCTAGGAAAATAAGAATATAGAATGTTGTGTATTTAGCATGTTTGTTACTCAGGGCTGCTCTATACAAAACCTTTTTTTAGTATTAAGAGTGGAATTACACAAATTTTAACAATGATCAGAAAAGAGGCAGTGAAAAATGTAGTGTTCTCTAACATTGGTGGTCAGTGGAAAAGTGAATCCTTGCATTGATGGATATTGAAAACTGTCCCCCTACACGGGAGTTCGGTGAAGGGCCCTGGTATACTTGTGCTCAGTAGGAAAAATGGTCCTTACATTGGTCATTAGTGGCCCCTTACAAATGGCTGAGAATATCTAGACCACCAGATTTTTTTTTTTGGGCATTGTGTGGACTTAACTGATGAGATCTCTGCACTAATAAAATATGCCTATTACTGCTGGATCCTGTGTAAAAAGTTGTCCATATGTTGTATGCATGCAAACGTTTCTGTAACATTTACATGCGTACAAGCATACACTGCAAATGTGCACTACTGATTGCTAGGACGTTAGGCAGCTCAAGTAGCCTGCATCCTAACAATGATGTGGGTGAAGCTATTACTCCAGCTGTTCTTGTGGCAATCCGCTCCCCATCATGTTCACTCTGAGGAACACAGACTTTGTGTTTGGCGCATATATCCCTGTATGTATAGTCCCTGTAAACGAGTTCTCAGATGTGTGTTCAGCCACTGTAATCGTTATGGATTTTAACAGACTGCTGGTAGCAGGCTCTACACTCAATCTGAAATATGCATGACCCACAAATAGGATTTTTCATTCATGCCATTTAAACGGAACTTAGCTGCTTTTGGAGAAACAAAAATCTGTATGTCCGGGATCTGATTAGAAACTCTAAACATAAAACGGATGTACACTACCTAAACGCACCTAAAACCTGCTTTAAAGCTGGAACGTCTAGAGACTCGAGAAGAATTGATCTGGGACGCATAAAAGTAATTTCTACTGCCCAAATAACTTTTCCTGCTCTTAGAAACCTAAACGGAGGAGTGCAAGTATGAAAAAGGCCTATGAGAGCCTGAGTGACAGACTGAAATAAGAATAAGGACTGATAATTGTTTAAATATTCCGAAATACAAAACTGGATTCATTATTAAGAAATGGAATTGCTCCACTCATTAAAGAGTAACTTTACCAAAAACTGATGATAATATTGAATGCTCTATAACAAAAGAACATACATTCCACGTTAATAATAATGCTACCAAATGTAGTGTGTGTTGGCAATTGCTTGAGCATTGCTCCTATTTTTTCTTTCTGGAAGCTGCCATGCTGTTGAAGCCCAGAGCAGTCACTTCCTTACTGAAAACTCCCTTTCTGTAATTTAAAATGTGTGCATTGTCATCCTTGATTAGGTGTCTAGGCTCAGCTAGAGGGAAAGGCTGCAGAAGGTTTACAGTGCTGAAGTTCGTAGACTAGAAAGGAGAGAATGTCAGTGAGATAAAGCGCTATCAGTGTAAGTTTAACTCTTTTGTGTCTCCCTTGCAGAAGAGTTTGTCCTGTCACCTCTCCTGCTTTTCCTTCTACCTATTCTGTTCATCCTCGGTACAGTCTGTGTCATTCCTGTTGCTTCCTCCCCACTCAGCAGCAGTAAATCTTTGGGCTGTCAGCAGATCAGCCTTTAGTGACTTGCCGATTTTTGGGACAGTGCTGAGAATATAGGACAACTGCAGCTGTGCAGACCTGTGCTGAGACCGTGCTTTATTGGATTTTAAATAGGATAGGCACTTATTTTTAATGTTATACGTAGTTATACCTGCAGAAGGGGGCAGCATAAAGTGATCTACCAGCACTTCATTTTCTGACTAAAGTTCCACTTTAAGTGGTTCAACTTCTCTAACCTGTGAATAACCTGGGAATACAATGAGTAGTCAGTCATAAGATGATATTCTTCCTCATTTTGAGCTGTTTTTTTTACTCTTTGTTTAAATCAGTTTTTCCTTTTACAACTAGCAACCTTTCAGTGTACAAGAACTTCTGTGTCTGGAATCTCTAAATCCTTTTTACTGGATAATAAACTGTCCATAGGAGAAATACAGGGGGCTGCCATTGCTCATTTTGATAATATAATACTAGTTTATGCCTGTTATGCAGAATCACCAATTACATTTTTTTAACTAACTGGACAAGAATATGAAACACATCACGTAAATCACAGAAAGTCATAACTCCTTTTCTGCATACTTGCTCTTGGTCAGTGATTCAAACTATTGAAGCAAAGGGAGCATCGTGACAGACATTTTCAGAAGAGGGGTTCAGCAATGGCAACCTCCATGTTTCATGATGGATTTCCTATCGTCAGTGCTTGCTTACAGATCAGATCTACATAATAGTTCTACACAAAATTAGATCGAACAATCTATGCAAATTAGATAAAACTGTACAGAATTCTTGAATGTTTGAAATGATTACATTCTTAAACTGGGTACACACTATAAGATAATAGTCCAATTTTCCTTGATGTTTCACAGCAAGTCAAACCTGAGGATGGTACTAATTGTACGAAAATTCTCAAACGATAAAGCCTTTTTTTTTTTTTTGATTTGACGTAGAAACATTGTAGCGTAGGCTAATGTTTATTGTTTCTGATCTTGTGCAGTTTTTCATATCCAGTTTTTCTTGTACAAAAACAGTACACATTAAATGAAAATCATTTTCTCTTTGAAATTTTTCATTTGGAAAGTCTGATTCAGGTTTAGAAAGTTGTGTACATGCTATACGAAAACTGAATGATCTTTCCTCATACAGAATTTTTCTTCCAATTTTCTCATAGTGTGTACCC